ACAACTTGTCAACAAGCTGGGAACAAGCAGTGCGAACACATCCTGTTGACAAGTTGTTGGAACAGCATTGCTACAAGTCTGCTGCAGGTTTGTTACAACTTGTGCGGTTTTATGTGCGTTGTTGGTTTGTAGATTTGGGTGTCAGCCAGAAGATTAATCAAGACAATCATTTTGTAGCAAGTCTGCTAACGTACAAGGCGTCAACAAGTTGTATTCGCACTACTTGTCTCAATTTGTCAACAAGTTTGGAACGAGCTGTTGACAACTTGTGACAACCTTGTTGATATTATCAGATTTGTTGCAAGGTTGTTCCAACATTTCCAATACAGTCCTATGATGTAACAGCATTGTTACAACCTTGTGTCGTCAACCTTGTAACATTCTTGTTATATCATGACTGTACCAGACTTGTTAGATCAACTTTGTAACAAGCTTGTTACAAGTTGTTAACAGCTTGTTCCAAACTTGTTACAACAACTGGGAACAAGCAGTGCGAACACAACTTGTGAACAGATTTGTAACAATTTGTTTGCCTACACGTAACAACTTGTGCGTTTTTACGTTTGTGGGAGACATCTTTCAACTCTCTCGCGCGTCTCTTAATAAATTAAGGCGACTCGCTGTTCTAGCTGATCATGGTTTTAAATTAAAGCAATAATGTCTGTCAACCCTATGTTGTTGCGCCCATAATGGGACATAGGTGTTAATGTTTCCTTGAAATTTTCAATAACAAATCTTCATTCAAACGAATTTCCTGCAGCTGTTTAACAGTGTGCTCGCCTGTTTTTTCCACCCCCTGTCTATATCGCCCCTGATTTCGAGATCACTGCTAATATGTTTATCTATTTTCTTGTATCAGCTGAAGTACAATCAAGTTCAAGTGTCGCAATCTTCAAAATCACGGCGATCGATTAGCGCGAATGAATGCGACGAGAAGAATCCTTGTCAGGTAGATATCTCTGGCGGTAAGAATAATATTCGATTAGATGGTCTTAAGCCTTATACTCGATACAGTGTCGCAATACGTGGTTACAACAGCGGTGGCCTGGGCCCTTTGAGTAGTATAGCAGTGTCCACGGACCACGGGAAGCCTGGAAGAATTGACAATGTTACATCGACGCCGTATGCTAAATTTATCAAACTGGAATGGTCGGAACCAAGCCGACCAAACGGCCTCATCACTGGTTATAATGTTTCCATCGATAAAGATGCACAGCCCAGGTATGCCGTTCTAGACGGTGCCGCTAGGAAGTACGTCTTTGCTGGTCTGATGCCTGAGAAAGACTATGTTATGTACATTCAAGCCAAAACTAAGGCTGGTTTTGGAGTCAGACGGCGTGTCATGGATACCACGAAGTCTCCTCAAGGTAGGTACAGTATTTGTGCGTGAGATTGGGTATTATGTATTTATGTAGAACTATTATTCAGCAGATTGAGATGTCAACAAAATCTTGATATTGCTTCGCAACCTATACACGGCGGTACCCTAGTATATGTACATGAACTTGTGGTTAGAGCTCGACAACTGGACTCTCTACAGTAGCCCAGTTGGTTTGAGCGCTGCACAGCGCTGCACATTCTATATCTATTATTTCTATGGCATCAACATGCACTTTATATATCTTTTCGGAGAACAGTTTAGTAGAGCAGCTTAGGTGTGTTCCTGTAGTAACACTAGATCAATATAAGATGATACTTGCTCACAACAAAGAACAATTATAATTGATAGAGCTATATCCAATGTAAATAATACTGGACCATAAGGGATGACCCTAACTGACGGTCTAATGTCTAACGCTGGATCAATAAGGGATGATCCTTGCTTAGGCCTGGTTTCCATATGGTCGTAATTGTCGCGAACGTGTTGTAATTGTCGTCAGAGTAGTGTTCTCGACCAAATGGAGACATGAAGAAAAGTCTTGTCGCGACACGCTGGCAACAGTTCACGACAGTTACAACAGTGTCGTCGAGATAGACTCGAGTTCCATCTCGGCGACAGTTACGACAGCCTCGTGTCGTGACGGTTATGTTTTAATGGAAACAGAAACACGACAGTGTGGCGACAATCAGGCGGGGGGGGAGACAAAGTTCCCCTTTGGTGGGACAGTACGTGTTTGTGTTTTTACAACTGTCGCCAGCTGCTTGTACGATCCCTGGGTACGAAATTAACTTGCGACAGTTGCAACGATAAGGAAACAAGCATAAAAAGTAATTCACGACGAACACTTGGCGACACGTTCGCGACAGTTACGCGACCATATTGAAACCAGACTTAAACCTCTAGGGAGAACTGATCAAGCTATCCAGTAGAAATAAAGTTAGTGCAGCTTGCCTTTGTATTCACTAGACAATATTAAATGTTTCAATATTGAATGTTTCAATATTTTCAGCTCCTGCAAAACCTAAGGCTCCAGTGCTCAAGGGCTTCGGAGAAAACGGAGTCAATGTGACATTCCAAGAAGGAAAGCCGGAGAAAGGATTCCCGGAAAAATTCATTGTTCTCTATCGCGTTAAAGGTTTGTGATTAAAATATGCCATATCTTATACCATAAACAGCTAATACAGGGTGTATATTTAAAAAGTAATCCAATTTTGACATATTTTCCTGCGTTAGTTAATATTATTATACATTGTAGTTGGCAAAAGTAATTTGATTGGTTAATAGCTTACAGTTAAATCGCGCAATCACGCAACCTACACAAAATTCAGTTATCTGCTAGCATGCAGATAACTGAGTTATCTGCAAATGAGCCTGCGATGATTAGCAAGCGGTATCTATTTAACACAAACAAAGCAAAATTTTGAACAAACGTAGAAAAAATGTGAGTATGGATAGGTTTTCATAAATAAAGTTTTTCATGCGTTAATACTATGTTTATTCTTCTTCAAATTATCAAAATTATCAAAGTCTCGGTAAGCGTCGATTATTCCGCATATCACAAAAACCTCATCCAATAATTGTTAATTATTCATCAATACGTTAGTTGTCACCTTTATGAAATGATTGCGATAAATAATGACCAACTGCGATCTGATATAAAGTGATCCAAAGTTAAATTACCTTTTTCTTATACACCTCGTATAAGAGTAATGGACCTTGTAATGGACCGATGACCTTCAGTTCAGTTTTGGTACAAAAAACAAAGGAAAACTAATTTGCAATGGACCATTTGCATTATAGATTAAATTTTGATCTAAACAAGTCTAGACAAAAATTTCATCACAGCTTGAAAGAGCATCACAAAATTAGTAATATTCCAGGTAACAATCTCACTGACAACTTGTCAACAAGATGTGTTCGCAACAGGTTTGTAGCAAGCTTGTCAACAAGTTGTAACAATGCTGTTATTTAATCAAGTTGCTACAAGGTCGTCACTCACAACTTGTTGACAAATTGCTGAATATAATGGACCTTTCACCTTTTGACTACAATTTAGATCTCAACAAGTCTAAACAAACATTTTATCACAGCTTGAAAGAGCATCACAAAATTAGTAATATTCCAAAGTTTCGTTGCGAAATGTTGTAAAATGCGGATAATATAGCCTTGCGAAATTTGCAATTTTCAGTCATTTTGTATTGATGCCCCAACACCCGATTGGGCTGTCAATTTCCCGTGCGTAATACAAAATGACTGAAAAACGGCAAATTTCGCAAGGCTATATTATCCGCATTTTACAACATTTCGCAACGAAACTTTGGAATATTACTAATTTTGTGATGTTCTTTCAAGCTGTGATGAAATTTTTCTCTAGATCAAAATTCAGTCTATAATGCAAATGGTCCATTCACCTAATGACATCATATCCGGAAACTTTGACAGTGAAAAAGTTGATAAAGATTGGATTTTTTACTATAAAGATATATTACATTTCTTTTTCGAATGACCCAAATATTACACATACCAAAATCATATTAGTGGTTAGTCGCACTTAGGTTAGTTAGTCCTGGACTAGGGTACATTTTGATTTACGTCGGACAAAGTTACAGTTGGGTCGGACACCAGTACTCTCTGGCCGGATAAACAATAAGCCACAGAACATAACATATATATGTAGTTTCACTAACAATTCCGTGTAATTTAGGTGAAAATGGCAAGTGGAAAGAAACGAAGGCTGTTGACGTGCTATTCGGACCAAACGGCGAACCTCGCAGCAAGCCCTACGTGGAAATATATGATCTGGATAAAAACAAGGAATATGAAATGGCTACAATCGCTGTGAACGAGGAAGGCCGGAGTGTTGAGAGCGATATTCAAATTGTGAAACCTGGAGAAGGTGTCGCTCGTAAGTATTTTTCTGAAGCAATATTGGCCCTTTATCTTGCTTCTACCATGTCGTGAGTAGAACTGATAGAGCTATCCAGTATAGATGATGTTAGTTTAGTTTATATTTCCCCTGTAGTAACACTGGATCAATAAGAGATGATCCTTACTGGACCACTATAGGGAGAACAGTTTAGAACTGACAGAGCTAGTAATTAATATATCCAGTATAAATAAAGTTAGTTTAGTTTATGTTTCCTTCCATAGTAACACTGGATCAATAAGAGATGACTCTTACAGTCCTACTGCACCTTTAGGAAGAACATTTTAGGACTGACAGAGCTATCCAATATAATTAGTTTAGTTCAGGTTTCTTCCTGTAGACTGTAGTAACACTGGATCAATAAGAGATGACCCTTACTGGACCTCTAGGAAGAACAGTTTAGAAACTGATAGAGCTAGCCAGTATAAATAAAGTTAGTTAGTTTAGGTTTCCTCCTGTAGTAACACCGGATCAATAAGAGATGACCCTTACTGAACCTCTAGGAAGAACAGTTTAGATCTGGTAAAGCTATATCCAGTATAAATAAAGTTAGTCCATTTGGTTTGTCCAATGTCAGGGTAACTTGATACTTACACAAGTTAACGTTCGTTCAACTTTTTCATATTTTAGCAAAGGCTCAAAACAACAATCCTGTTTACAAGCGATCCTGGTTTGTGGCAATTGTGGTTATCGTTTGTTTCCTTCTCATAATTCTTCTCATTGCTTTGTTGGTGACCAGGAAGAGAGGCGAGAGATATCCTGGTTAGTATTTGATACGTTTCATCTTTTTAACAGCTGACGTTTTCACGTCTTAAACCTTTGTAATACATATACCTTACTGAACTGAACTGAACTGAACTGAACTGAACTGAACTGAACTGAACTGAACTTCATTTTTTCTCGAATATTTTCAATAGTTGGGAAACGTGAGAAGAAGAGAGCTGGAATTCTGGACGTTGGGGAGGAACCTGATTACAATAACGCATACCCAATGAAACCAGCAAGGTACGATTGGTGTCAGATGGGCACTTTTGTATAATAATATTTAAGAACATGTGCTACCTCTGTATGATCTAACCATGCTTAACTCAGCAGTGAGTTTTGTACAACATCAGATCACTTTAAGGCAACCCACATTCAAGAACATGTACTACCTCTGCATGATCTAACCATGTTTAACTCAGCAGTGAGTTCTCTACAACATCAGATCACTTTAAGGCAACCCACATTCAAGAACATGTACTACCTCTGCATGATCTAACCATGCTTAACTCAGCAGTGAGTTCTGTACGACATCACATCACTTTAAGGTAGCCCACATTCATGAACATGTACCAAAAATATGAAAGCACTGGTATTTTGTAGTCTTATAAATGAAGCAAATTTGTATGAAATGGTAATATGGTAGCAACCTGAATTAGCCCGCTGCGAATATGTCGTGCTGTGTCCTCTGCCATTGAGTGTCACCTGACTTAAATGCGATCTTTTCCCCCTAGACAAAATGGTAATGGTGTAAACAGACAAGACAGTGGAGGATCACTTCCAAACAGAGACCCAGATCGCGACAGTCTGGATGAGTACGGCGAAGATCGCTTTGATGAAGATGCAGCTTCTTTAATCGGTGCTTACAACGATGATCGAAGACCTAACAAGACTGTTGAAGAACCGGAATTTGTCTAACTAAATTTGGTGAAGCAAATCCACAAAGATTTTTAAACCGTGGAAAGTGGAAACATTGCTTTTGGATATAGAAAGATATAGGAAGATTGTTGTTGGATGCATCCTTGTCCATTGGCTTTTAAACATTACAGTTGCCTTGATGAAACAAAAAGTCATGGATTTTTAAACTGTGGTCATAGATTTTTAAACTCCGGAAACCGAGAAGAATGGTTTTGAAACGAAAGATATACTGTAAACAAATATTGCGGTTTGATGATGACATTTGGTGAAACAAATGATCAAGGATTTTTAATCTATAGAAAGTAGAAGCATTCTCTTGGGTTGAAAGATGTAGCTGTGTAAATATTGGAAGATTTGGATCTATATTGCTCTCTTATATTTACCGAGAGACAAACATGAATATATGTGTTTGTTAAACTATAGTTCTGGTGGAAACAACGCCATTCTTTGGAGGAACGAGTTTGGAAGAAAAGGTTGGACTCGTTTATAAAATGAGCGGATCTCGTTTACGATTTGGTGATGAGAATGATAAATGGCTATTTTACTATATAGAGCGAAGTTATTAAAATAGGTTGGTTAAATAGATGGTACAGTAACTCACACTTGAGGGCTTCTCGTGGTTTGAGCCTCAACTACCTGAAAACGATAAAGAATATTTCGATGTTTTACAGAGAAACAGAAAAACATGTACATGCCTTTTCATGTTACGGGAGAATGTTAACGTACTTATATGACACGAAATTTCACACAATCCTTTCTTGATTGCGTTACAAATATGCGGTAGAATATTTGTACGTCTCTTTCGTCTCGAGATATTCAACTTTGTTTGACATGCAAATATCATCAGTCCAACATCACACTGCGTAATGAGTTTCTATAACAGAGTGTTTGTCTTTTGGGGTAACGATAACAAATATTTAAAATTGTGCTCATATGGGCATAAACCATTTAATCATTAGGCCTCGGTATCTTTATGTGTGTGGTATATTTTAACCGATTTCAAAATTAGTGATGCTCTTCAAAAATCTCGTGCAGTGTGATGTCATGTTGATGATATTTGCATATCAAACAAAGTTAAATACCTCGGGAATCGAAGTAATCTTTTTCAGGTAGTTCAGACCAAAAGCACTTCAGCTTATTGTTGTTAGGACTCGCTGTGTCTCAGTAGATTTAGCTGTCTGGCCGGACAGAGATGAAATCTCTTCATTTAACTATATCATCTCAAAAACGAAGCTGTAACTGTATAAGTCTTGCATGGTGAAGTGTAGTCTGTAGTTAGAAATTATATGGTTTAAAATGCAAAATTCGTTGCATTTTGTATATGTAGTTATGGTTTTAGACATTTCATTCAAGTTAATTTCCAGGTTTTCTTGGAAATCTTTTAAAGTTTAGGCGTAGTCACAGAATATAGTCTTAGTCATAACATTGAACATTAACATAATGCATATTTTATGCGGCAGTGATCATATAAAGTTTATATTTACTTATTTAAGTTCACAATCCGTTTGGATGAACACTGGCAAAGGAAATGATATGATTTCTTATCATTCGCGTCTGTGGTGAATGACTTGTAACAGACGAATCAGAAAATTTTCAAGCGTGCAAGGATTGTTTCCAAAAGCTTTGCCAGTAGATTTGTATTGTAATAATATATAAACTTATATATAGTACTAAAATTAAGTAAGACATTGATTATTATTGTTAAAATAATTTAAATCTAGATGTAAATGATAATTTGTAAACTTTCTTGTAGCTCTTTTAAATAAATTATAATAATCTGCTGAAATATGTTACATTTTTTAAAGTGCATATGACATGAAATTTCTTATTTTCTTGAATGAAAGAACTCTTCAAGCTGTAGTGTAACTTATTTTTCAGTTTGTTTTTGTGGTTTGTTCCCGAGATATTACAATTTGTTTGATATGTACATGATGTGAATATGTACATTGGGTGAAAGCTAGCTCTTCAAAATGGTTGAATATCACTGCTATCATCCAAGATGATAATTTCAAATTTCACTCACTGGTAAATGTGATGAAACACTAGAGAAAAACGTGAACTGATATCTACAGTTTTTAGAGTTACTGTAATACATTTATAACCAATGTGACGTCATAAATTACCGGACATATTCACACTCATTTACATATCAAACAAATTGAAATATCTCGGGAACAAACCACAAAAACAAGAAACTGAAAAATAAGTTACACTACAGCTCATTCAAGAAAATAAGAAATTTCATGTCATATATGCACTTGAAAAATCACTCTTTCAAAAGGTCCTAAGGAAATAGGTCGAAAACCCAGGGGAGGTGGGGACAGGGGAGGGGGTTGAGGTACAGGCGTACTGTACATAGGGTTAGAGTCCCCCATTTGGCTTGAAACATTCAAATTCTGGATAAAAGTACTCGGAACGTTTGGGATTTAATGGTCCAACACTTTCTATCATCGAAAACAACGATTGGTGATCAAAACAACTGAAAAGATTCGAAAATCCGTATCAATGTTCGTTTGTTTGTTTCCTGTTTTCTATGTTTATTTCCTGCTTATTTCTGCGTTCGTCACATGTCTGTGTGACCATATTTTCCCAGCGGTTATTACTAAACTTTGTGCTCAAAATTTACTAAATATTAATCGAGAAAAATTTTACCAAATTAATTTCGCTCTCACCCTGTTTCGATAAGTGTCTGCACTCTGCGGTGACAATATATGCACTTCATGAAGGGGGGGGGGGGAGGTGATCAATATACTACCATTTGCAATCAAGCGTTGAACTTGCAAATTTTTTCACGATATTTACGTTTCAAAACGTTACGTTTCCTCGTTAATTAGAGGGTCTTCATGGGGGTCGTCGGGTGTCAGTTGTCAGCTAAAATTTAAGCCAGTTGTCAGTGCGATATATTGCAAGCTGTCAGTAGTCAGTTACTGCAAAATGCGGACTCATCATTTTTTCATCATTTGTCAGTTAGGATATTTTGTCAGTTGTCAGTCAAATATTCAGGCAAATGTCTGTAGTCAGTTAACCCCATTCAGACCTTCTAATTACGTCACGTTTTGGGCGTGTAATGTACTCTTTTCAATTAAATACTGGTCAAAGATATCGATCGACGCGCATTTAAGAAAAGTGTACATGCATTACACGCCCAAAACGTGACGTAACAAGGAAACGTAACGTTCTGAATCGTAAATATCGTGAAAAAATTTGCAAGCTCAACGCTTGGTTGCAACTTGCAAATGGTAGCATTACTCATTAGAAGCTGGATTAGCACAATAAGTGTTTTCGTCAAAAACAAAATGCAATAATGGTTTCGACAAGCCAATTAGGTTGACTAAGTTTATGGAACGCCGTGTGTCCAAAAAAATTCCATTACTAAAATTTCTCCAAAATTGACGAAATTTTACAAAAAGAAAAAAGGCCTAACATTATTTCACCTAATCTGGCAACCTCGTCCCATGCACGAACAAGACCCTGGGGACGAGGTTGCTAATCTGGCTGATTGTAGCGTTCACAATATTACACCTTACATGAAGTATTCCAGGATAGCTATTATCCTTGCGTACGTCATGTAAGGTGCAATATAATGGAACGATAACAAAATTTGTCAAAATTTTCGAACAAACACTTTCCATTCCAATCTCAATATTTAATGGTTTGGAAATGTCTAGAAGTGTAAAAGATCTTCGTGAATTGATCAATATATCTCGACTGTCCTTTCATGGCGAAGATGGGCTTCATGAAAGCGACGAACGAGACGAAATAGTTGGACACAAGTACTTATTTCAAAATGGAGAAAATTCGTCGTTACATCCAGACGTAAAGCTACCAACGTGTTTAATAAAACCCGCTGAAGACATCGAACAACCAAGAACTAGTCTTAGAAATGGTCATTTTAAGCCCTTGCCGGCTATTAATTCTTCAAAAACTAGCAAAGAATGTGTCATCAATAAAACAGATTCAATGGAGCCAAATTTGGTATACCAAAAATGTAATTGTATACTGCAGTACATTGATGGATCTGTGGTAAGCTCTTGGCTACATCGCTCAAACGAATGCGTACAATGGCTTTCTAAATGGGTTTCGACAAAGGAATTTTTTGTACGGTTTGCAAAATTTTGGCTCACGGAAATGGATCGTCAAAAACAGGGAGAACTGGTCGAAATGGAAGTTGGAATCATTTTGGATGAAATAGCGTTTTCTGTACAAGATGGACTTAGGTGTAAAAAGGTGACGCAACAAGATGTGATGTTGTTCTTTTTGCTAATCGTTTGGGAGTATCCGTCGAAAATATGCGGTCCGCAAAGTAGTATGTTTGTTTTGAATACCTTAGCGACGCTTGCGTCTGGCCGAAAGGACAGGTATCGTACGCTCCTTTCAAACGTGAAATTTGCAACAAAAAGCCCTGAGCAGATTCATTGGATTTTGTCAGTTCGTGCATTTGCGTTAATATCCATAGTTACGGCGTTGGTGAAATTTTATGCATCTTTGATAGGACACGGTTTGCCAAACCATGATACAGACGATTCTTCAGAATGGCATTCAAAGTCGATAGAGGATTTTGCATTTGATGCAGTAAGATTAGGGTGTTTGAATGTATTGGTATATTTAGTTGAGGAACAAAATCTCGAGACGTCTGGGCTGAAAAACAAAGAGCAGTTGTCACTGCTGTTTTGCGCTGTCACATGTGGCCAGGCAGACATAGTGAGATACATTTTGAAGGTATGTAGACACTCAATGTACAAGCAGTCCCTAGGGAGAAAGGAGGGACTCAGCACAACACATCAAGGGACGAAATGCACCCACGTTTCGCTCTTGTCAAGTAACGTTAGCTCCGCCTTTGCATAAACAGTAATGTTTATTAAGTAATTATGTACGAGTCAAATCCAACCGCGATCAGCCCCCCCCCCTCCCGGGCAAACCCAGGGCATTTGACTTAACATTACCCCCGTACAGGCGGGAATTTGACAGCCCGGTCGGGAATTTGACGGTCCGGCCGGGCATTTGACCACTTGACAACAACTTGCTCAGCAGTT